TGTCTTGGTTCTGAGGGCTCATCTGGCCAGTACCCTGGGATATCATCTGTATGGAAGCTCTCAGCCTGTGACATGGCTAAGAAAGCATAATTTGGTAAGTACTTTGTCAGTATAAAACTTTTTGGTTTTCATGTGCTTTTATGCATGGTGCTTGAAATATTTTAACTCACTTGTGCTCGCTTGTGTAATGGGCCTTCCAGATATTATTTCAGGTTGCATTGCTGGCACTAAATGAAAAGAACCATGTTCAGTGTGGTAATAATGGTAGTAATTATTTACAAACAAAGTTACAAAAAAATTGGGGCAGTAAAGCAGTGATTCTTTTTGACCTGTATTGAATTGAAAACAGTACAAAAACACAATATTTGATGTTTTACCTTATGAACTTCATTGTTTTCTGTAAATACATGCTCAATCTAAATTTGATGCCTGCAACAAAGGTAGGACAGGAACATGTTTACCACTATGTAACATCGCCTTTTCTTTTAACAGCACTTAATAAATGTTTGGGGGATGTGTGATATCCATCACATAACCATGCCTGTTTTTAATGCATTGCCATGTGAGGAGTCAAAGGTCATGGGCATTCACTAGGGGTTTTTGGCCTTTTCTCTGGATCCTGAATTAGTCTATAATTAGTATATATATATATATATATATATATATATATATATATATATATATATATATATATATATATATATATGTAATCCAAGCATGACTGTATAACTTGTTTAAGGTGTTTTTTAAATATTTCACAATGTTCCTAGTCTTAAATTGCTTCTGTCCCAACTTTTTTTGGACTGTGTTGCAGGCATGAATTACAGAATGAGGGTATATTTACATGAAACAATGAAGTTGATGAGAAGAAACATTTCATATTTTGTCTTTGTACTGTTTTCATTCAAATACAGCTAGATTGATAAACAGAGATAGTAGATATAAGTAGATTTATAAATCACTCCTTTCTGTTTTTTACACTTATTACCTGCTGTTTCATCTTTTTAATTAAAAAATACTGTGTAACGTAAAACTTACTGCTTCTGTTAGTTCCGTGATTTTGTTTTTTTGAAACGTTTAGTTGATGGACTGGTGGCAGCGGTGGTGGTGGTGGTGGTGGTGGTGGTGGTGGTAGAGATGGTACTTTTTTCCTTTTCATCGGAAGATTCTCCCTCTGAGGGCTAATGAGGGGCCGTTTCTTTTTGGGAGAATGGTCTGGCATTTCGAATGGCCTTTTAGGTCTAAAAAAAAAAAAAAAAATCAAATGGAAAGCCTCACAAAGTACTAAACCATGTTGTGTGACAAATTATAAAATTACTTGGGTTTTCGTGAGGATTCATTATCTGAATTTAGATCTGATGTCTCGCAGGATGTTCTCCATTTGTGGACAACCTTGTCCAAAGAATCTGTAAAATATTTTATATGCATTTTTAAATGCAGGAACATAATATACAGCAACATCTGCACATTTCACAGTTTAACTTGTATTGTTTGTATGTGAAGGTGAGTTTTGTGTGGAATGTACAACCCCATTTCCAAAAATTTGGGACGCTGTGAAAAATAAAGAAAAAACAAAATTCTATGATGTGCAAATCATTTAAACCCTATATTTCATTGAAAATGCTTCAAAGACAACAAATCAAATGTTGAAACTGAGAAATTTATATTGTTTTTTGAAAAATATATGCCCATTTTGAATTTGATGCGAACAACACATTCCAAAAAAGTTGGGACAGGGACATGTTTACCAATGTGTTTCATCACCTCTTCTTTTAACAACTCTCTGTAAGCATTTGGAAACTGAGGAGACGCTGCTGTAGTTTTGAAAGTGAAATGTTTTCCCGTTCTTGTTTGATACAGAGTTTCAGCTGCTCAACAGTTCGGGCTCTCTTTTGTCACATTTTTAATTTTATAATGTGCCAAATGTTATCAGTGGTGACAGGTCTGGACTGCAGGCAGGTCAGTTTAGTGCCCGGACTCTTTTGATACAGAGCCATGCTGTTGTAATACACGTAGAATGTGGTTTGACATTGTCCTGCTGAAATAATCAAGGCCTTCTCTGATACAGACCTCATCTGGATGGCAGCATATGTTGCCAAAACATGTATATATCGTTCAGCATTAATGGTGCATTCACAGATATGCCAGTCACCAATGCCATGTGCACTAATGCCCCCTATACCATCATGAATACTGGCTCTTGAACTGTGCACTGATAACAAGCTGAGTGGTCTTTAGTCCGGAGGACACAGTGTCCATGATTTCCAAAAAGAATTTTAAAAGTTGATTTGCCAGACCACAGGACACATTTCTGTTTATACATGCTTTCTTCTTTGCGTTTAAGAATTTTAATTAGCATTTGTGGATGCAGTGCTTAACTATTTTCACAGACAGTGTTTTTCAAAAGTGTTTCTGAGCCCATGCAGTGATTTCCACTACAAAATCATGTCTGTTTTTAATGTATTGCTGCCTGAGGGCCTGAAAATCACAGCCAGCCAATACTGGTTTTTGGCCTTGTTTCTCCAGATTCTCTGAATCCTTTAATCATGTTATATTCCGTAGATGATGAAAAGCAAAAGTTCTTTGCTATTTTGCGTTGAGAAACGTTACTCTTGAATTGTTGCACTATTTGCCTGCTCAGTCTTTCACAGAGTGGTGAACCCCTCCTCATCTTTATTTCTGAAAGACTCAGCCTCTCTAAGATGCTCATTTTATACCCAATCATGTTATTGACCTGTTGCCAATTAACCACCACATGTTTTTTAGCATTGCACAACTTTACCAGTCTTTTGTTGCCCTGTCCCAACTTTTTTGGAACGTGTTGCTGGCGTCAAATTGAAAATGGGCATATATTTTTCAAAAAACAATAAATTTCTCAGTTTAACATTTAATATGTTGTCTTTAAAGCATTTTCAATGAAATATAGGGTTTCAATATTATCAATATTATTAAATGTATTTTAGACTACCTGAACGATAAAGGATCCGAGCTTGGTGCTGTGTCCACCCTCTGTTGACATCTGGGACCTCGTTGGCTCGAATACTTTTCAGAAGTTTGCTTTTTTCTGTGTATGGAGGCCACCATGACATGCCCTCACGGTACCACTCTGCTGCCACTGGGCTTGTGGTTCCCTCATCCAAAAATTCAACCAGTAGGTACATTCCTAACATACAAGGATCCACCATACCACTCATAGTATGTCATCAAAATAAACTCTGATTGAAATCATTATGAATAAGAAAAATGAATAAAAATGATTGGGGTTAAAAGAGAGGGTCTGCTTATATATAATTCTCATTAATTTGTATGCAGAAGGGGAATAGAAACAAATTTCCTGTTGTATGGCACAACAAATGCTTTCTGTTGGACTTCCGAAAATTTGCAAAATTCAGTGGCCCCTGAGAGCTTGTCTATTAAGTAGATCCCAAGTGTGGTTGAGGAAACTGGGTATTCAAAGAATGATTCTTGTTGGAGAAAAAAGGCGTATGCAATGTAAATCTCATTTCCGTGTAAAAAAATATTTCTCACTCTGGCGACTTTGTTGTTGATGTAAATAAAGCTGTTGGCTTCATCTAATTTTAGAGAGAAACTCTGTGTTCTCAGTTCACGGTACTGGTTGGCTGCTTGGATAGACTGGGGAAGAGGGCCACAGACATGCTGTTTATATAATCCTGTTCTTTTCCTGTTTCGATGCAGTTGTTTGGGCCTTTCTGACAGTCTTCTGACAACTTGACTGAGTGGGCAGCCAGGTTTTCTAATTAGTTTCTTCATCTGATGAAGGAAAGATTCAAATTTAAATGCACTGAAGTTGTCAAGTGTGCCATGTGTTTTGACGTCTTGTGCCAAATGAACAAGGTTGTGTATGTTGTAGGACATGAATTTTTCCCCATAGAGCTCTTGAAAGTGTTTCACAAATAAAAGCAAAATATCATTTGCATACTGAAGATAGTCTCTGAGTAGTTTCTTGTTGGATAAAATAAACACCCCTACAAAAAGTAAAAGAAAATTTTGGTATGCTGTTATATTTAGGGTGTTGTTTAAAAGAACAGGCCCAGTGTAAAACAAAATCTGCCGGAACTCAGTAGCTTTCCATCTGTCCAATTCTCTTAGAGTCCTTGGTCGTCGGGAGAATTCCATTGGAACATTTTTCCGGATTTGATCAAGGCTGTTTGAAAGGCTGTCAACAGCAGAGGCAGGCAATCTGCAGGACAAGGGACCCCGAAGCCACAACAGGAGCAGCCTGCGCATAACACCCAGGCATACAAGGTGCATGTAGTCTAAAGGAAAGCCTGTTACCATTTTTAATGATGTTCGCTGCAGTGGTGTTGGACCACGATGATGTTCTTCATCTTGTTGAGCCCTGAACGACTCATCCGTCCTAAGCGAAGCATCAGTTTCAGGAAAAACAATTCGATTGTCAATATATTTGCCCTGCTGACTACACTTCCCACAGCCATTGTAGCCTGAGTGACCTTTTATGTTCTTTACAAAGGCACATGCTGGAGCATCGCAAACCACTGTACATAGCCTTAAGGACATGAAGTCTCCTTTGTAATCAAACCCTTTTTCAAGAGCTGAAATGTCTGACACAAAATCTTCCAGGAAGGCATCCAGTGATCCTGGTTTTTGTTTCCCACAAAACAAACCAATTATAACTGGGTCATGTTCTGGAAGATTTTCAATCATTCCTAGAATAGGCCAAAATTGCATGGTGGAACTCTTGAATAAAGGTAAGCCATCAATGTTGACTTGGAGGTCCAGAAAGTGTGTTTCCTTTACAACATCCTTGTGTTCTTCTAAGAGATGCGTAATAGATTCAAGCACACCAAAGTGATAATACTGACCCCCAGCTATATCCTTACAGCTAATTTTGGTTGAACGAACTGTTCCAAGCAATGTTCTTGCATCGTGTGGGAGCTCTTGGTGATAATCTGAAAGGATCTTTAAGAGACCATTTAACGCACAATGTGTAATATTGTGCTCGACAGCCCATGCAGCCAAACCACTTTGCAGAGAGGCTTGGAAGTCTGTGTCTGAGTCTGTGTCAGATTCGCTTTCAATGGAGTCATAGGCATCAAAAAATTCATCATTGTCAACATTGGACAGACAGTCTTCAAAGTCTTCATCATCTGGTTCTTGCAATTGATAGAAATGCCCACTTCCCCATTCATTTACGTTGGTAGACTGTAATTGTTCATCAACCTTAGCTTTGGACTTTCTTCTTAATGTCCAATATGAAGGTGTTGAGAAAGCCATATTGTACTGACAGATTAAAAGAGACAGAACAAGAGACATACAATAAAACAAGTAGCTTAAACAGTCTTCTGTTCCATTTTCTGACAGTTGAATGGTTACTTACTGGATGCAGATCAAAAAGTGAGATGTTCACAGAGAATTAGGAATCTGTAAGGTAAATATGAAATATTTTCTGAATCATAACAGGTACTAAAAATACTATAGTATTACTTATTTCATTCAAGCTCAGCAATAGGGAAAATGTATTATCAAAGATTAGTTGTGTACTATAGAAAAGAAGTGTGGCTATAACAAAGTGTTGCTTCTAAACAGTTTGTTCCTCATCAGATATTTGCTGTACCTCTAACAGTATAATAGTCAGAAATTTGGGCACACCTTATTGAATTTATTTTTAATAATCTCATAAACACATTTCGATCTAAAGGCTTCCACTTAAAAGCTTGGGATTTGTTTCTTAATTGAATATAAACAGTGATGTCTGTATATGAAAGGCTACTTAAAGCAATGCAAAATGTAAAATTTAGACTACAATATATATTTTGATTTGACAAATGGAACAAATGAAAAATATCTTTTATTTTAAATTCTTCAAAGTAACTCCTTTTGCCTTGATGGAGCTTTACACAGTCTGTTCTCTAAAGCACCTTCATGAAATGCCACCTAGAATGCTTTTCCATCAGGACTGAAGAAGCTCCACATACACTGGCTTGCTGCTGGTGAAAATAGCCATTTGAAATGGTATTTTAAATTTAACCCCAGGCTTATTATATACTAAGGCTTATTATTCTGTAATTACAGGGACTTCCATGCTAACTGGCTGAGCTATTCTTAGGGTATAGAACTGTGTAATAAAACTTTGGGCCCACCGGTGGGCCCTGGCCATTTAAGGGGTTAAAGCTTTGTTTTGTAAAAAGATTCATATATAGGCATCAGCTCAAAAATGTATATACTGTTTGTCTTAAAAACAACATTCAAGCATTTAAGCTTATATTTTTAGCTCAAAGTATCCTTAAGATTACTGAAAACATACATTCTGTCAGGTGTGTCTAAATTTTTGACAGGTAGAATGTGAAATGTTTTAACCCCAGAAATCACTAACATGGCCAAAATTACTATTATGTTTTTTTCACCACTTTGTTAGTGTGCTACATAACGTATCAAACAGTGATGCCACAGTTGTTAGTTAAAATTATATTATATAAAATTATAGTTAAAAACATATTACGATATATATTTAGAAACGTCCTGCATATATTATAATTTTGTCAGATGTGTATTTTCTATATACATAAATGTCAAGAAACACCAGTAAGTCATCAACATCCCATATTAGCACCATCAGATTTATTGTGTAAAATACTTTACTGTATTGCATACTTAGATTGCTTCCTACATTTTAAATATGTGAGGTAAGGGTTGTAATATTGATTGGCATATTAACTGTCACATGCTGATATAGAGATCCACATTTCCATGCATTCCATGTCCCAGGGCACCTGATTCCTTGATGTTTAGCTAATAAACTGGATTAAGTGTGTTGGGCAAAGAATGTATGGAGCTGTGCTGGGAAGGGGATTGTCAGGAGGAGGATTAAGAAACACTGATCTAGCAGATTCTTCACATATATAGATATAAGCGGAGATGTTTGAACACCCCTGGTCAAATTACATGTTTTGTTGATTGTCTATGTGAAAAAAGGTTAACGTAAGGTTAAATATGGCATTTTTTGTACATGTGCTGAGGATAAAAACATACTGGAAAAAACATAAAATATGTCATAACTTTCAAATAGGCCACATTTTGTGTTCTATTTTTCCAGTACATCAAATGCAGCAAATAAACAGTAATTTGTGCATTTAACATGCAGAAGTGTCTGGAGAGGATATGTTAACTTATTTTCACTTTGAAATGCAATAAAACATAATTTGACCAAGGGCACACAAACTTTTGCATCTGACTGTATATACTCTATACATTTTTTTACAGGTGAAGCCAATATGGCATACTTTTATTTTCTCTTTATTTTATTTTTTATTTTTATTTTATTTTTTTACTTTTCTAATGTCTTTTTGAAGTAGTCTAAGCTTGTGCATGGTAAAGGGTTGAGGGTTTATATTTCTGATTAGAATGAGATTATTACATCAGACATGCCTTGTTTAAATTTTTCTGGGCATAATTTTCGGCGTTTTACTTCAGAGCTTAAAGGGGAATTTTTTTTTTATTTCTGCTGAATTAAATTGTCATGATGTAACAGTGATTCAGAGTGGTTTGATCTAAAAGGCTCTGTTCTAGAGAAACTTGCTGAGTCAGAATCATGCATAGTGATGGTGGTAAGGACCAGGTGTATGAAGAGCGTAATACCTCTAAAAGCTACATCACAGAATGCTATTACATGAAATGATTACAGATACTTAATGCCATGCCTAATGGTTTGTTTTACATTCATTTAGAGATAGATGATTGAAGATTTTTGTATAAAACAATTCTTTATGTGTTCATGGCAGAAACATAATTTTTTCAGATTTTCTACTATTATCATCAACATTCCATATAAAAATTTATTAGACACATGTAGGTTCACTGGTGGTTTTGGATAGTAAATAAAATTAATATCAATTTGTGTTGTAGACATAACAACCCCTAGTTTTTATCACCACTGCTGTAAAGAAATCTGCATCAAAAAATTTCTTTACAGCAGTGGCCACCAACCCTCCTCCTGGAGATTTATTTCCTGTAGAGTTTAGTTCCAACCTAGACCTTATCCAACACTAATACATCTGATCCAGTCAATCAAGAACATGCAAAAAAGTTAATTAGCTGGAGCAGGTGTGGCAGATTGGAACTAGACTCCACAGGAAGGTAGATCTCCAGGAGCAGGTCTGGTGACCACTGCTCTACACCATTTCAAACCTCTCCGAATGATTTTGTTTGCATCTTCTCAACCCTTAAATTATGCAATATTAGGAAAAAATGTGGGATTTAAGCATTTATGTCTGAATGCCTATCACTAATTTAATGACCTCTGAACTATCCGATTGGAGGACTTTATATGAGTGTGGTCTACAAGCCAATGGGCGCGCAGAAACGAATTTGAAAGTTGCTCCGCCCATATGCCTCCGGACGTTATACGAGGTTGTGCACGGGCTGCGTTGGGCAGTCTACCGAGTGCGTGTGCGATAAGAAGTTAAAACAGGCGAGAAGGTAGGTTTTTTTTATGTTACATATCGTTTATTGTTGTATTTAATGTTTAAGGCCACGCCAAAATAACTTTTACTTCAGTTAAGCGTTGAGTTTCAGGGGTAACACATCTGGTTAACCTAGCTAGCTAACCAAGTTTGCTAACGTTAGCTAGCATAGCAAATGTGAGGTGTGTTTGTTCAGTTCGCACTTGCAACGCAGACATTTTTATTACTTATCTTTAGGTTAACTATTCTTTTTTAACAGAATGTGTCCTGTGTCACAGATGACACAATCGAGTCATCCTAATTAAACAGGCTCAGGAGCAACTTTTCATCTGACGTTAAAGGTAAAAACATTTAACTTAATTCAAAGTTTTCACGGTAGCTTGCTTTAAAAACGTAGAATGGACCGACATGTCCTGTGGCTGATTTGCCGTAGTATAATCGGCCATTTTATAGCCATGTGAAGTAGCTAGATAATTATGCTAGCATATTGTTTGTCAGCTAGGTTAAGTTACCTTAGATTAACTTATTTCTAAAGAATTACTGAACTACTAAGGCATGAGACATTGGACACTTCTTATTCTGGATCTCCTCAGACCTAAGAATTTTGGTAATATCACCTCAAATTTTATTTTAAGCGTAGGATAATATGAAACTGAAGGTGGATTCTTACTCCGATTTTCCATTCCACCTTAAATAACGCCACGGTTGCGCAGGCGCCAGAATATAACGTTAACTGCAGCACAATTTAAGGTGGAACGGAAAATTTGAATAAGAAGCTAACGTCAGCCTCGTGCTGTACCGGAGAAAACGTTAACATGTTTAGTTCTTTTGAGCATTCTTTTCATCGTTAATATCCTGGATTTTGAGTGATATTTTCTTTAGCTGCCGTTAAAACTGTGGCTGTGCTATTTATCCCGCTCACATTGGCTTAAACTAAATGTTCGCCGTTGGCCTAACGGCGTTACCATGGATACAGCAAAACTGCTTAACCTCTCAACGGTAGCTTAGCTGAGTATTATAGTTATATGCAGGATTTCAGTCATAATTATATTTAAGTTACATATATTTATATTTATGCATTTGCGCTATAAAATTAGAAAAAAATTAAAGCTATAAAACCAGTTATCCAGTATAAGCTGGCTCAGATTGGATGTGGATAAATGTGATATAGATACTTTATCGCCCCCTCAGTGATATTTTTGGACTCAACTCACCCAGTAACTTTAGTTAACTAACTATGTAAATATAAAATAGATGCCTACAGAACTGTAAATAAAATACTTACCACAAATTTGTCTACAAAGACAAAATATTGTAGCTTTTGTAGCCGACTGTTTGTAAACTTAACCTATGTAACCTAGTTAACGGAACGATATTTATGCTGTGTATTGAACAATTAGGTTAACTAACTGATTATGCTCAAACTTTAAATAAAATACTGAAACAACGTCTAAACTATTGAACAAATGTTGGAGAGGCACGAAAAAACACAAAAGCTGTTCCGAGAGTGAAGTAACCTGAAGTTACACAGAAAATCCGAGTGACCGTTTTTGACAGTTATTTTTTTCAAGACTTGGGATCCACGAGACCTCTGTCTCGTGCGTGCAGTTTCCCGCGCCACTGCCCCGCTAGAGAGAAATACCCGACTGGCGTGTGTGAAACAAGTATGCACTTAAGACAGCTATTTAAAACAATACAGATCACAGTAATAAAAAAGCAACATTATGATGAATAATAATAATAACCTGTTTTATTTATGCAAACGGAAAATAACAGTAAGCAGCAAACAGTGAAGTGCCGTTAGGAGTTGGCTGAAGGAAACTTCGCCTGCTTATTTTGCTGAGTAAGAGTCCGAAGGGGCTGAAATGCGTGATCTGCAGGGTGAGACGTTAAACTTAATTTTTGAAATTCTTTTCTTGATATTTGTTGCACTGATGAGCTGAAAAATAACAATCTCACCCTTGTTCACAATCTGTTCAAGCTTAATGTAAACAATGACTGACAGTGACAGAATGAAGCTGTTTGCATTATTTTCTCGGTTCTGGATTTATTCTCCTTCACTTATAAATCAAATCTAGTAGCACAATGCTGCGTTCATCCTCATGTCTTGGAGTCCATGTCTATGAGGTGTATGTAGTCAGGTTTTAGAATTTTTACATTTCTGTAATGCACCGTATGTCACAGTTTATTTTTTGACATTTGATGATCGGAAATACAAACAACAAGCGGTGCCAAACTTAAAAAATACTGTTAAACCACAAATACAATGATTTCTGTTCACATTCTGTGCTGCACTGAATCTAATTAAACAGGACTAATGTTGCTTTCTTTGTAATGAAACATGCAGTTGGTCGGTACTCTAGAAGTACTGAAGATATCCATGATATTGTGACATACTGTAAATATTTGTAAATATTGTCATATTGCCCAGCCCTAGAAGGAATGTGTTCACAGTGATAATTTATATACATTTTTGTTTGGATAATTCTTAATGAACTGCAGCTTAGTTATGGCAACATTGATGTACGGGTCAGTTTACACATTAGTCTAAATTTTGCAAAGTGAGTTTTTAAATATGTACATGTCATGTTCTCCTTTTATTGTTGACCATAGTTTATTAAACAGGATTATTACAAGGAATTGATATGTCTCTACAGGGCATAAATAAGCCATTAGGCAATGGAAGGGCAATTTTTTAGTCCTGTTAGCATCTTTGAAAGCAAAAAGTGCTATTGAAGCAGGATTCCATCAGGTTTGTTTGTAAATGTGTGAAATAACTTACTACTCATAGTTAAGTTGCTCAGTGTTATTTGAGTGATATGTGAATTGAATCGGTTAATTCTTTAAAGAAGTAGCACTGAAAGTCAGCCTAAGCCGAGCAAGAAGCGTAGGGCAAGTCACATGGGTAGGGGTGTAATCAATAATCTTGATCTTTCAACAAAAAAAAAGGTGATTATTTTTAGATCCCTCCCATTTAAACTGATCCTTTGAAAACCAAAACTAAAAGCATATCACCCATGTTTTTCCAAGTACTGCACTTATAACCTGTGTCTTCCAGGAGTTCTTTTGTTTGTGTTAAAGTTCTTAATGGCCTGTCACCTTTGTAGCTTAAGGCCTGTGGGCCAGCACATGAACAGAGATCTGCAGATGCCAAAATTACTTTACGTACACTTTAGGTGCTTTTAACAAAGTCCTCAAAAGAAGTGATCACATGTGGTTTCATTCAAAAGGAACATTAGAGAGAGAATTTTGCAATTTCCCTCCAGGATCAATAGTGTTTCAGTAGCAAGACATATAATTGCACATAAACTTACATATACTATGCAGAAAAATAGAAATAAATCTAGACATGAGTTAAAGTACAAGAGAAATAAAATAAAAGTAAAAATAAAAATCTGTTTACATATTCACATGGCATGTGAGACAGATTTGTTGTATTTACAGCAGGCACTGAGTGGTATGAGGTAAACTAAAAGCACATATTATAAACATAACTAACTCAGAGTTGCATCAATATTACAGTGTGTAAAGTGCATAGTGAAAATGTCATTACAGTAGTAGTTGATATATTGCACAGTGTATTAATCAGAGAGTGATGTGGTTCAGCTCAGATAGCAGGACATCAGTACCTTCTCTGCAGTAAGGAGAATTGTTGTAGAGCACTTATAGCAGTGGGTAAGAAATCTCACACGGCCTCTTTAACACAGCGCAGCTGTAACAGATGGCTAGTGAATGTGCTTCTCCGTTTATCCAGTGTAGCATGCAGAGGATGTGAGGTGTTGTCCAAGATGGCTAACAGCTTGTTGAGCGTCCTCTGTTCTGCCACAACCTCAGAGTCCAGCTTGACTCCTACAACAGAGCCAGGCTTCCTAATAAGTTTGTTCATTTTGTTCAGAGCACTTTTGTTAATGCTGCTGCCCCAGCAAACAGCATAGAATAGAGCACTCGCTACAACAGACTGGTAGAATGATTATCTTGCAGTGTTAACACATTAGCTTTTAACCTTTTTCCTTCTGCTTCATTGAGGTCAGATTCAGAAATACCCCCATTTCCTGGAGATCTACTCTACCCCATCATCAGAAGTCCTTCTGCTCTTATGCAAGTATTCAATTTATTGACACTATGTTAAGACCATTCCAATTCTTACAATAAATCCATTCATAGTTTTAAATGATCAAACATAGCAAACACTTGTTTGTTTTGAAGGTCTACACAGGCATTAATCTAAAGTATGAGCCTGGCTTGTACCAGACACCTCGAAACCAGGCCTGACTGAGCCCGACTAGTACTTGCACATTTGAAACTCAAACCGGAAATCGTTTGACTTTTTCTTCCACAGGGTAAGTAGATATGCACACAGACAAAGGCTGATTCTCAGAGTTGCTTTAATGATGCTTACTTGTGTCCACTGGAGTTGAGACATGTTAGGTGCTGTGATAAGCTGGTATTTTACTTTTGATAATGGGGGAATACCTGCAAACTTAATGGGGAGGGAGCAAACACTAGGCAAAAGAATTTAGGTTATGCTTCAGTTTTTGGTTATGCATTTTTCCAATTGTTTGTTTTTTAGAACTGAATATTCCACATGGAAATGGCCATCATATGGCAAATGGCTGTATATTTGCCCATGGGATTGTAAGCTGGATACATGCCAGTTGTGGGTTTTTATTTTATTTTTTTTTTTTCCTTTTTGGTATAGATAAAGATTGTTTCACAAATTTGTCTTTATACACGGCATACATTTATCTAGACCCTGTATATATTGACTAAAAAGATATCAAACCTGCACACAAACATCTTGAATAAGATTCATTATCACTCAGACAACAAACATAGCACCTGAAAATAAACCCACCTGAAACCTGTTGGCCTCTGTCGGATAGCAGACCTGTAGTTTCCACTCAGATCCTCATTAGTCGTTGTGCTAAGCAAGGATGTCAGTACTATAGCAGTTTTTTTTCCCTGAGGATTTTAGTCTGAAATACTGTATCATTTATCTCAAGTAAACTGTGATTTAATGCCAATTCTCAAGAGCATCTGTCGCATCGGAGAAACCTAAAAACCTTGGCATTATGATTTGATTCTGACCTGTCTTTAAATGTTCCTCATTAGTAATATTAGTTTGCTAGCTAATTATGATGGACATCATATGTAGCAAGGCTGTTTCACAGGGTGAAGTTAATGGTGGAAGTTATTCCATCATTTTTTCAATTTCTGCATAATTCAGTGGTTAAGATGTAAACAAAGTAATTCGGTGTGGTTTGATGTGAAGTGGCTCTTTGCACAGAACTTTACAGACTCAGATTTCTTTAGTGGTGGTATATGGAACCAGGGGTCACAATGTATACTAAAATATTGCAATTTTATTAACTTTCCAAAACCACTAGTGAACCTCCATGGGTAACCCTTTCTTTTACAGTCCGCTAAGTTCTAGATATTTCCCAGGTAAGTATGAGGTACAGACTCCAAGGTGCTAGGTGATTATTTTAGGTGAGAAGATATTAAGTACCAGGATAGTCTAAATGAATTATAAAACATCTCACAGGTTCTAGATCAGGCCTGTGGGCCTTGTTTGACACATGGGTACTAGATTGTCAATATTAGAGGGAATGTATGTTATGTATTTACCTGGAACTTCAAAAGAATAAACAGGATGTGAGTAGGAGCTCAGGTCACTCATCTGTAAAGTCTTAAATTGTATGTATCTGTGTATTACCTAGATACTAAACAATCTGAACTGTAAAGGAAAGCAGGGACTCTTTCTATGGTTTTACTGAGTTCTTACAACAGAGTTCTTACAAATTGCCACTTATCATGCAAGTATAAACAGACTGTAAGAGAGCAGGATTCATCACAATGGTAATACCTGTTTATTAAAACCTTTTGACAACTCTGTTTTTTGACACTAACTCCTGTACATTTCAAAGTACAATATTGTACAAGAATGTCAATTCCTACACCTTGCTGTTTAGTTTACACATAATTTGTAATATATGTTTAAATGGTGCGATTTTCACTTCTCAGGACATGGTACTTAAGTGTGTATATTTTGTCTGAGATAAAAGATTTCTTTTACAGGAGCAGGTTGTCTGCACTTACCAAATATACTGAAATGTATGTATGTATGTATGTATGGTTTACATTAGAAAAGCTTCAAGAACAGAGTAAAATCATGGTCATCAGTACCATTTTCATTTTACAACACAGTTTGCCCATAGATACCAGGTAGAGTTTAATATTGCACATTGTGATGTACAGGAATTATCATGTCAAAAAGTCTCAATAAACAGGTATTACCATTGTGACAAATCCTGCTTTCTCTTAGTCCGTTTACACTTGCAACAAGTGGCAATTTTTCTGAACTTTGTGGTAAGAACCCAGTAGAACCATAAAGTCCCTGCTTTCTTTTACAGTTCAGATTCAGTTTAGTATCTAGGTAATAGACAGATACATACTATTTAAGACTCCACAGATTTGAGTGACCTGAGCTCCTACTCATATCCTGTTTATTCTTTTGAAGTTCCAGGTAAATACATTATAACATGAAGATACATTCCTTCTAATAGACAATCAAGTATGAAGCTGTAAGAACTGTTCTGTTTTATTTAGTAGCTTTCAGTTTTCTAATTTAAGTAGAATGTTTTATGTTGGTGTAACTGTAACACCAGTGAAAGTAACTCCATTTTCAAAAGCTGTGCAATACAATGTTCTACACTAATTTTGCATTTGCAGTCTAAATTAGGGGTTATCACCATGTAAAAGGAAAAAAAATATATAATTGCAAAATTGTGTGCATGTTTAAGTATCCCCTTTGGCTCTGAATAGTTTTCCAGTTTAGTTTTCAGGTATTTTATCATGTTTCTTTTAAACTTAATACATTGAGCCTGATGGGCATTTCAGTGTAATTAGATTGTAATGGTGCTTACCATCATGTTACCCAGTTTTGACCTCACACTAACCTGGGTAATACCTAGAACCTCTGAGACATTTCATAGTAATTTATTTAGACTATCCTGGTACTTACCATCTTATCACCTGAAATAATTGCCTAGTACTTTCTAATCTATACCTTACCCTTACCTGGGTAATACCTAGAACATGTGAGACATTTCAGTATAATTAATTTAGACTATCCTGGTACTTACCATCTTGTCACCTAAAATAATTACCTCATACGTTGGAGTTTGTACCCCACACTTACCTGGTTAATACCTAGAACTTGGGGGGCTGTCAAACAAAGGGTTACTCCTCCTTGTGCCTTCTGAGTCTATATATGTATTGTTGATAGTAAGACAGTAGAAAATGTTTTCCTTTGGGTACTATTTCGCTTTAAGACGCTGCATGTAAAACTGTATTTAAGACAAACTGTCACTATTTTTACAATAGTTGAGAATCTGGCAGCATATGCATAACCACTTCATGTAATAACTTTCTGTGCAGGAGCTTTGACGCATTAAACTGTTTAAATGTCTGGTTCCTGTCATTTCCATTGTGAACAGTTCTGACTCAAGTTTGTCTAGTACAAACCACTCTGAATGAATGTTTATCATGACCATTTGATTATGGAGATTCTGAAAAAAATGGTGGGATTTCCCTTTAAACCTGTTTCAAAACTCTCATGAGGCTAAAGGTGTAGGGCTGGACACAGTTCCAGGGTAATGTTCAAGTTTGCTAGAACTTGTGAACAGTGTGGGATCTTCTGTCACTGTAAACTTAAATTATGGAAACTTAGTTGTGAAAACCACACCTTCAGGCTTTTGAGGTCATGAAATTGGATGCATTTACCTGTATACACCTATTTGGCCTTCAGCAGTTTAGCTCTGCCATTCACATGAAGCTTGAAATTGGGTTTTGGCCCATAGTGTTTTTTGAATGAGACAACACAGGACAGCCAATCAGGATAAAGGTCTACAAATCTGCCTTAAAATCACAGTAATACAGTCTGTTTAATTTTGTGGGATAAAGAAGGGGCTAGAAAATAGTGTAAAAATGAATTATGACTGCTCCTTTTATTTGTTCCTCAGTTATGACTGCTCCTCGGGGGGCAATAATAAAATACAAAAAATGTAGGATGGTCCCTTTAACACTATTTCAAGCCCAGTCACCCAAAACAGAGCTAACTGTCTTGTTTCTTTGTGTAGCTGAACAACGGACCACCCTGTCTGGCTTGATGCTGATTGACTTGATCAGGTGTTCCTTCCTGCTCACCTGCCCTCCAGACTAGTTTGACCACCTTGGAGCCTCCTGCAAGTCCATTTACTCTCCTGGTGTGCAGAAAGCCTTACCTGCATGCCCCATTCACCCACTTGAATGCTTACCTGGTCATGGCATGCCTTTACAGCAGTCTTGATTTTAATTCAGATGATCATTCTTTTTAAATGGCCTCTGATAGGTTTCTAGATTGTAATACTTGTACGTCATTGGTCTCATTTTTGTTAATCTAATTACTTTAGCCTAATTAGGCTTCCTTCTTTATTCATTAGCATATTTCTAAGATGCCTCTTCACTTATCACTCTTATTGCTTGTTTTTCTATTTTGGGTTGACCAGTGGAGGATGGGTTCCTCTTAAGGTTTCTCCCTCTTGCTCTGTGGGAGTTGTCACTGTCTTTCTTTGCTTGGTCATTTAGGGCTTGGACCTGGGTTTTTGTAAAGCTACTTTGTCAGTGTCTTGTGAAAAGTGCTATACCAATCAACTTAATATATCTGATCTACCCAGCTGTAGCTACTGGAACTCCAGTTACTACATCAAAGTTAATAATTGAACATAACCTTATTTATTGTAAGATGGTTGATCTCCATATTTTTGTTAATTTAATATCTTTAAATGGCTCTGCAGTTTTCCATGTAAGGACGACTAATTGGCACCACCTGAAGCTCCTGTTATCTGCATCTACTTTTTTGTAAAAGGAACAAGTCTTGCCAGTTGAGAGGCTCAATGGGGAAGTGCTGAAAATTGTTAAATACTGTAAATGTGTTCAGTTTGTGTTCTTGCTAAAATGGTGTTTTTATTAATGCCAATGCATTTCTAATTGTCATAATAAACAGACTCTGTTTTAGATTACCTGTCTTATGTTGTGTTTGTACTGCCTGGTTGTTATTGTACCCCTGACAGGCCACATTACAAGTTTTCTTTACAGAGTCAGGGGTCCCAGAGTCTACAATGACCAGTGAACTTTTGGGCTTATGTTTTGGTGGTGCTGATAAAATAGTGAAAAATATGTTCCCTTATGGGTACTATTTTTGTTATTGTATTCCTGGACATTTGTTAAAGAAAGGACACAAAGTCATGGTTAGCTTTCAAAAACAGGTAAGCCACTGCTTTTGTTTTTGGTTGCTATGGGGTAAATAATGTAGGGATACGTCTTAAGCTACTTAAGAAATGCGGAATTAAAAAGTTATGGTTGAAAAATGCTCTGGTACTGACGCTTGGGGGTTTATTAGATGTTGAAGTGGGGATTTAAGTGCTTTACCCAGCACAGGGTGAGGGTTTTTTTGTTTTTTTTTTGTAAAAATCAATGCCATAGTACAAGTTCAAACATGACCAAGATAAATGCGCCAGAAAATGGACTGAAACGCGATCTTCCGATGTTCCGCAGATGCATATTCAGCAGGAGAGCAAAAAGCGACAGTTCCACATTTTCCCTACCAATATCCTACCTCTCAAAATAGAACGCGATGAATTTCCTCCACTTCGGTGTTTTACCGACGTTTCGCCTACGTATGTGTGCTGTCTGGGTTATTGCTTTATTATACAACCAACTTACCGATTTAATTAAATTTAGGCTTTCTTTTGTTTGTGGGGCGAAAAACTACAACAGGAGCTATTTCACTAGAGTAGGACATACTAGTTCATCAACCTCAATAAGCTCCTATCCACTGAAACAGTTGATAATAGTTCATAATCAACCACAATAAACACTCATATATGCTAGAATATGAGACGTTAGTCCATAAAAGACCTTGACAAACACCCCTGTTTTCTAGAACATAAAATATTAATACATAAATGACCTCAATAAATGCTTTAATACATTCGAATAGGACACATTAGGCCATAAACAAGCTCAATAAACAGTTCTGTTCACCAATATACAAAAGTAGTTCACAATTACACATCTTCTCCCTGTGAAAACAATAGGTACAAATTTTGGACCCTAGATTAGGTGATATTATACAAACAATCTCTATAAACACTTCAAAAGACGACACTAGAAGATTTTAGTGTATATAAAACCCCATCTTAAATCCTAGGATAGGGCCTATTTGTTTGCAAACAACCTCAATAAATACTCCTTAATACTAAGATAGGACATATTAATCTGTAAATAACTTCAGTAAATATTCCTCTATACCAGGAGATATTAGTCCTCACACAACCTCAATAAGAACTCCTTAATATTAAAATAGGAGATATCGGTCCATAAACAACCAGATATAAACCAGAAAACCACAAACAACCTCAGGAAATACTCCTCTAGGTACTAAAGTGTCACTGGGGTGGTACCCTAAAGAGTACATCTTCAGTACCTTTACTTGAGTAACGTAATAGAACCAAATTCTGTTGTAGTAATATTTTGTAAGTAGCATCAAGTCCATACACCCTTACTTAAGTCTTAAATCCAGACTTTTTATTTTATGTTTCTGTTTTAACATAGATTTAAAAATGTACCTTTTCCCTGGAAAAAACTTCCTAAAGGTACACATTGGCCCCTAAGTTCATTGTTGTACATTTGACAGTACATTTGATGTATAGTTTATATTTTAATTAACAAAAATGTACCTGTACAGCACCTTTTCTGACAGTGTCCATAAACAACATTAACAAACGCTCCTATATACAAGAATAGGACACTGAGTGGATTCATTCCGAGCAGACATTAGTTACACTGATTCAGAGCGTTGAATGCAAAGAAACTTTCAATCTATGCCATGTTTGTAAGTAGAAGAGAAGGAATTTTATTATGGTTTGAATTTGATGGAGTTTTTTGTACATACAGTTTTGTTTTGTGGAAAGAAAATCCTTCTGTCGTATTTCTCCAGTAATTTGTACCAGAAGGAGATAAAAGCTAATGAAGGTCTGGTCTTGAATAGGAGGGTTTTGTAATTGACTCGGTCTCGCTTTCATTTGGACTCGGTCTCGACTCAGCCTCGGCTCAGTCTCAGCTAGTCATGGTGTTTTTGCATATATACTACTAAACTATAGCCAAAAGCAGTTCAGCCACGCCCATTCATGCTGAAAATATTAATCCACAAACAGCCTTAATAAACACTCCTGAATGAATACATTTACATAAAGCTGCCTAATTAGCCTACAGCAGTTCGGCCCCGCCCATTCATGCTTAAATTATAAGGAATGTTTTAATCAGGCTGCTTTATGAATGAGGCACAATGCAGGGAACCCAATCAGAACAGAGCTCATTTACAAATATTAGTTTTAAAGAATTTTAAAGTAAAAAAGCTGTTTAATTGTAAGGTATAAAAAGAGTTTAGAAAATAATCATGTAAAAAAGGAATAATGATTGTTTTAGTACATGAACCCACACAAATATTTTGTCACTTATTCAAGTGGCTTCATCAGTTTATATGGACTATTTCAGACTCTGCATCTTCCTTTATGACATCACTTCTTTATGACATCATTTAGAACTATCAGAAAACTGAGCGTCTCATTCTGAGTGTGTGATTCTCTTCAACAGGTGACGGTAAGTAAGTCTCCTCCTCCTGATTTCCTGCAGTAATATGAAGTTATTTCACTTAATAGGACTGTATTATGTACAATTAGTCAAATCTTTTATCTTTTAACTGATTTCAGCACCATTTAAATGGTCACTGAAAGCTGTGTTTGTTTATTAGTACTATCTTAATCAGTCTTCATTTATTTATTTAAATCATGTTTAACTGAAGTCTTATTAATATCAAATTTAGATTTAATTGGTATTTTTTCTTTTGATATTTTAATTTTATGTAGTATGAAGGGTGTTAGAGCAGGAAAAGACTGAACAGTGCCGAGAAAAACATACTGCTAGACTGTAACACTGAAACAGCAAGACTGCCTACTTGGTGAGTACAAACCTGTTTACAGGGGAGTTTAGCTCATGGTTATTTATTTATTTATTTATTTAATGTTTTGGTAACACTTCATAACAGCAATAGTTTATAAGACGTCTATTATCTTTTACTGTGTAATTAACTAATCATAAAGTAGTCCAGTTTGTAGGGTTATTCATCATTAATTAATATATTAACGTCACTTCATAAGAAACACATACATTATTACTGTGAAATGAACTAATCAAGAATTTAGCATTCCACTCCCTGGTTGGTCCTCTTTTCTTACTACATTGCATATGAAGAGTTGGACATTTCACAATCCACTCCGAGGGTGTTTCCTCTGGCCCACAGTATTGCGATATAATGAGGTGGGCATTTAGCGTTCCACTCTGAGTATGCAAAACTCTCCGCAAACAATTAAGAAACAGATAAAGTAAAAAGTGGTTTTGTCCCCAGAAGGGGGGGTCAGTGGTGTGGTCAATTTTATAGGCCTGGGAACAATTTAAAAATAAATATGGTATAATAAGTAACTATTTTTTAATAAGTTAATATTTATACTGATAAGTAATTGCTTGCTTTATGCTTTGTACATGCTTAATATGTACAAAATATCAAGTCTTTCCACACCGACGATGTTCATCTGTCCAATGATGTTGCGGATATACATCTCTCCCGCTATGTTGTATATGCAGAATTCGACATATATAGTATCACTCTGTGGGCGTTTATCTATTTCCACGATGTTGCGTATATGTTTATGTGGTTGGGCATTTAGCATTCCAACACGTGGGAGATCAGCTATCCATTGATGTTGCCCAAAAGGACTTGGGCATTTGGCATTCTATTTCAAGTATGTTCAGTTATTCCACGATTTTGCTTATACAGAGTTGACCATTTAGCATTCCACGCTGAGTATGTAAAACACTCCGCAGTTGAGGAACAGATACAGAAAAAAAATAGTAAAAAGTGGTATTGTCCCCAGAAGGGGGGGTGTGGTGTGGTCAATTTTATTGGCCCGGGAATAATTTAAAAATAAATGTAGAATATTGTTTTATGGTAAAATAAGTAACTATTATTTAGTACGTTAATATGAAGTACTGATAAGTAATTGCACTACATTTAGCGTTCCGTCCCACGATATTGTATATGTGAATTTTGGCATTTAGTCTTCCAATCTGAGAATGTTCTCTCTTTTGACAGCATTACTTTTATTGAATTCGACATTTAGCGTTGTAGCCCATTTTTAAGTCATGGCTTATAGCTTGAAACACATTGCGTTAGTGTGAGATTCATTGATATCTGCATTCCATGGTTTAATTTGCTAATTAAGCTAAATTCAAAGTGATTATGAACATTTTATCAGCTGCATAAAGTATTCTTGAACTGTGTGTACTAACTTTTGTGTTTTCTCAGTCAACAGAATGTAAATTTCATCTGCTTCAGGCAAGTACAAGGTTTAGTCTCGTACTGGAGGCTGCTTGGATGAAGGTAAGTAAGGTAATTCGGGTTATGGTAAAGGTGAAATGTTTTTTTTTCCTCACATAGTTTTCTTAATATACATCTAATTCCAACTGACATACTTGTAACTAAGTGTAACAGTTTTTGAGTGACTGTGTGACTCATTAAGCTTGCAGAAGTAAAGAAGACCCATACCACTACAGGGGCTGATGGTAATGGTTCAGAGGGAGGTCTTTTATGTAAATTAGTCTCTTATGGAATTATCGTTGCAGTATTGAGGGTCAGTGCAGCATGAAGGTAAGTACTGGAAAATCTACCCATTTGTGCCTTGTCTCAGTTTTTTTTCTACTAAAGAATTCATGTCCTAAACTAGTGTTTCTTAGTCTTGCTCCTGGGCACCATTTCATCCATTTTCTGCCTCAACACACTTGATCCAGCTCATCAGCTAATTTTCAAGCCACTCATGAGCTGGATCAGGTGTGTTGAGGCAGGGAACAGTCATACCTGTGCAGGGCAGTGGGTCCCCAGGACCAGAATTAAGAAACACTG